ACAAATCCTCTAACAATCCGCTTCCACCACTGGACTCGCCCAAATTCTGATACTCGTTAGTGCTGTTAATGTCACCACCATTGCCATCATTTACTTTATAATTGAATCTAATCTCCGGATTACTGTCTCGAAACAAAAATTGGCTTGAAGGGAGCTCCATTCTTAACGGATAAACATAGTCGGGAATAGAGGCGAGTTGTCCCAAATCCAAATGGGAACCAACTGTTCTTAATGATGTAGATGGATCGAAATAAAATGGTTTCGAGAAAAAGGAAGGATAGTGAGTGGAGATGGGCATTGAAGTGGCAGCAGTGGTATGTCCAAAAGGAGAGCTTCTCAACAAAGGCGAAAAGGGGGAGGCAAAGCTGGAGGTGGTTGAGCCGCTGGTGGCGGTGGTATTGCCAAAAATTAAAGCTATTGTTGTTGCCATTCTCGCAGTCGAGTTGACGGTGAAGCCGCTTGAATCGAGGAGGGGTCTGGAGGAAAGGCGGGGTTCTGGTTGAGAAGAAGCTGGAATTAGTGGTGGAGGTGGAAGGGTTGTATGCGGAGAGAGAGGAATCGAAGAGAGGGAGAGTTGGGTAGACAGGGGTGTGCGGGAAGGGGAGCGGAGAGGCGTTCGACGGAGTTGGGCTGAGAAGCATAGGGGTAGTTGCGTGGTGCGGGCTGTTGAGAGTGGTTGAAGTTGTGCAGTTTGGGCTGTGGAGAGAAAGCTGCGTTGGGGTGGTGGGGAAGTGAAGGATCGCCGTTGTTTGGAAGGAGAAAGCAGTGGGTGAGCTGGGGCGGAGGAGATGGGTGTGGCGGGCTCCGAATGTCTTTGGTAATGAGTAAAATGTTGGTTCTGCGGCGGCAGCGACGACAACCGGTGGTGGTTTAGGGGTTGGATGTCCGGAGGATAAAGGGGAGGCCTTGGCGCTGCCGCCGTCGCCTCACTCTGGTGTTCCAGAAATTTTTTATTTCGTTATCAGTTCTTCCCGGAAGCTGTATTAATTACACACAAAAAAAGTTTAAATTTTTGTTTTCAAAAAATAATAAAACAGAGCAATTAAAAATAATATTATGACTACAAGTTTGATATGCTGCTGTAATTTACTGTGACCATAACTTTGTTCATTTATTTTGTTCTGTGTAATGGTTTTTTAAGCTGTTGGGCTAAAACACAGTACAATTCAAAATGTTTTCTAAGGGATAAATATTGCTTTTATTTGCTTTTGAAAGTTTTTCTTGAAAAAACTCCTTATTAATTTTGTTGATATTGTTGTTGTAAGCTGCTAAGTATCTCTTATACTATCATCAATATTCTTAGTTCTGTAATTTTGGAGAGATTTTCCTTTTTGGTCAAATGTGCGATTGTAACCCTCAGCTGGACTTCTTAAGATAGCTAAAAGGAAGAGAAAAACTTCTGGAGATTTCTTTTTTTGATTACCATATTAGGAATTAGTAAACAGAATGTAGAAAAAATAATTTAATATTTAGGATTTGTGCTGTAGTTTTTACCATAAGTTATCGATGTTACACGATAATATATAAATTATAATATTTTTTGTTTTCTTTTACAAAATTACAATGCTGTGTTTGGGAACTTGAATTTGTCAATTTGAATTTGGAGTGCTCAAATTCAATTTCACTATTTGTTTTTACTTAAATAAAATGTAATTGAATTTGGGTGAAATACATGTATTTTAACCGAGTAATTCTCATGAGTAAATTCCGTGTATTTCAATTTCACCCTAAAACCCTCGAATTTCAATTTTGAATTGAATTTGGTCTGCACTCTCTTCTCACCGACGGCGATGAGCCTTCACCGTCCGCCCTGACTCTGCCGCTGCTCTCGTTGCTCTCTCACCTTCGCGTCGTCGGCCACTCAACCTCTCCTTGATAGTAGGTTTTCAATCGCGCGCATCTACCTGACTTTTCATCATCTCTCTCGATAGATCAGCGCCTCAGGTAATTCCTCTTCCTTAAATTTTTATTGATTTGCATATGACTACCTCCTAGATCAGCTATATTTAATTCTGTATTTGGGTCAGAATCCCTTGATTTCGTTTCTTACCAAAGAATCTCGTCCGCCTTGACTACTTCCTGCAGTGATTGGTTTTGTTTTTTTGGTTTCAGTTTTAAGGTTTGCTAGTTTGTTTGAGCTGATTCTGAAGCTTAATTTTGCTGCTTTGGTTTTCTCGGGTTTGGTTGAGCTTTAATTTGAATTGGGTTTGAAGTGGTACTAGGTACTGGGTATTGGGTACTGGGTACTGGGTTTGATTGAGCTTTAATTTGAATTGGGTTTGAGAGGGAAATTGGCGCGGAAGGGGAGAGGGAAGAGCTCGTCGCCGGTGCTTGAACCAGAGGCACCGGATCTGCTGTGGCAGCTATGTGCGCTCCTTTCCAATTCCATTATTTCTCTCTAATATTCTAAGGGTTTTTTTTTTTTCCGGTTTTCTCTGTAAATTTGTAATTAAAGGATGCCGTAGTCGAACGATCGGAGCACGGGGTTGTATTGAAGCCAAAGTTTATCTTCAAAGGGAGGTGCTCATAGTTTCACTGCAGCTTTTGAGTTGAATCTTTGTTAAATATCGTTGTGGGTGACTCGAGCTTGATTTCTCTGTTTAATAATCAATTTAAGCATCTAATTTCATATGTTTTGACACTTTTCTATCTTTTTATTCACTGTGAACACAATGCCAAAGGATGGCGTTGACTTGGTTTGGGGCTATTTGTTGACTGTTTAAACAAATATTCTGCTCTGGACGTTCAGGTATTTTTGAGATTCAGTATCCAGGACCTGATATGCCGTTGCTTATCAAGTATGTTTCCATGCTATTTATAATCACAACTTTTACCATACTTTGTTGTTGCAATTTGGATACATAATAATCTGCATGATCCACTTAATATCTGTACTAACACTTAGCACCTATGACTTCACCCCTTTGCTGTAAACTCATTAATTTTCTATGTTTTCTAGGCCTGTTGATTCGCTTGATGCTTGCATTTATGTAGAAATCAGGACAAGAATCCCAGAGACAATTTCATGGGACTACAACTTTGAACCTGCAGGAACTACACTTACTTTTACTGTGGAAGTATTATACTTCAGGTATACTCTTACTGTCTTACAAAGTATTTATAGGGTAAGGGGATAGTGAGAGTATGTTGTATCTTCCAATAGCTTGAGAATTTGGCTTTTACATTTTCAGATAAAAAAGTGAACCATGGTGTTCATTCATCAGTTTGCAGCTTCCAGATTATTGCCGAGCCGAGCCTGCATCAACAGGTATAAGTACAAGTTTGAAGTTTCTACAAGAAACCACTTCAAACCTACCTAGTACCAGATTATTAGCTGTTTTCTCTGTGCTGCTCTGCTCTTGTGATAGTGCTACACTTGATTCCTAATATAAGATAGAAACATGAGCTGTTTAGCTTGAGTTTTTTTACAAGTTATCTTTTTTATTAACTATTGTAAATCACCAAAGAAGGAAGGAGGATTGGGTTTACAAGTTACTTACCTCTTCAATTTGAATATCTTTACCTCTTCAATTTGAATATCTTTACCTCTTCAATTTGAATATCTTTTGCTATGGTTTTAAATGTTGCATTGTTCTCCTCAGCACCTAGAAATCCATTCTTTAGTTGATCTTCTCAGTTGCTAGCTGTCATTGTTTTAAATACATGAATGGTATGTTAGTGGA